GAGGAAAACATTGCTTTACCCTCAGAGCCAGGTAGCTGCTGGAAGGAAGAACGTTTCACTCCCAGCCTCTCTCACCTGGCCATTTCTGAACAGGCAGCATGTGCATTTCAGCAGGTCCCACCTCCCAGGACAGGGAATCTCCTCAAGAAGGGTCCATTGCATGATGCAAGGCACAAGCCTCCTCTTTGCAACAACTGCCCTAAGACCAGGCAATACCCCCAGGATAGAAGTGCTGGGACAGATGCTAAAATCCAAGCAGGTGTCTGAAACTATTGGTTGCACCATAAGGAAATACAGACATAAAAAGTGGCCAGCTTGACTGATCAGGTCGCATCAGAGAACAGGAGGGTTAAACACTCTCGGAGAGCTTATCTTCGAATAGCTAAGCAGTTCCGTGGCCTCACCGCTCCTGCACTCTGACCTTTTCCCGCTACTTCCATCCAAATAAGACCCAACCGACTTGACAGAACGACTCCCACTCACCATTTTGCTCTTCTCCCCTGAGAAATCAGTGCACACGTTAACAGCAGACTGCCAGACACCAGGGTAGGTGCTCCTTTTAGGATGAGTTTCTCTTCCTGCAAAAAAACGAACTGTGGACCTGCAAAGAGGAAGAGACGATGGCATTTCTCTCAGGATGACTCAGACAATCTGGCTGGGTCCCAGCACACCTGATAGAGCCAGGTCCCTGCCAGGGGCAAGGTCTGGCATGCGCCTGGGAAGCTGGGCCTCAGGGCACTGGGGACTCCGCCTCTTCTCTGCCAGCCCCACAGCAATTAAAACTGCTCGGAAAGTGTGTCTAGTATGTACCACAAATCAGCCTGAGGAATCTTGCTTTTGCTTTCTAAGGCTCACAACTCATCTGCCAGAGCACGTTTGCTAGACTTCTGCTGGCTTGATGCTGAGACAACAAGCCTGTATGGTCTGAGGCATCGTCCTTTGTCTGAAGTGCACTGTACCACTGGGTACTCATGTTTTTAAATGAAGGAATCTTTTGGCACACTATGGATATTTCCATCAGCCTCTCACACGTGGTGGCTGGATGGTCCTTGGGTGCTTTCTGGAAAACAAAGTCCTCTTTCTAGAAATAAGCAGAGAAAATGAGGACTGGGTATGTCACAGCACTGGTGGCAGGCAGGCAGCGTGGAAAGAAACATTAAACGAACGTGGTAGTGAAATAGCAGGTAAGATATAAGCCTGCAAAAGAGCTGTACACATACAACAGACAGACCATGCACATAGTAAGAACCTATCTCACTGCGATTGCAAATGTCTGTGTGTTTCTCTAACAGCTGTGACTCCAGTTCGTATTCCACCTTCTACTTTACCTCCTATTTCCCACCAGCTTCACTTGGGCTGCATGATTTCCAATATTTCAACATTGCTTTGAACTGTAACTCTCTGTGTGACTTGGCTCCCATTTTGGAAATTATGTCCACCTCATGACTTGACTGTGAGCCTCCAGGCTCATTCCAGGGTTATACTGTGCCATAATAATGTGATGCTGATTCCTCACTTTATCTCCATTGCTGGTTTGTTTTTGGGAACCACTGGGAGAAAATTCAGTCACCACGAATGTTTGACTGGCTGTGACACACACCACAGGAAATGTTCTGAGCGGTGGGACATGCATGAACTGGGTATGTGCTGGGGAAAGAACACAGACACGATCCTTAGCAAGCAGGATACACATCAAGCACTGGACAGAAAGAGGAAGGAAAGCATTTTAGGAGCTGCCTAGCTACTGAACATTTTGCTGCCACAGTGAGAGTGCAGACCACAATTTTGGAGTAAGGAATATGTGCCTCATGCTCATCCTGCTGTCCTTTGCATAGGAGTTTCATGTCCCCTGGTCTTTGGGACCTGCTGCTGAAGGCTGTACTTTGCAGTACAGTAGATAAGCATCCTCTTTTGAAGTCTTATGGACTAATTCCCAGATCTCTAATGTTTATCACTGCAGATCTGCATCTCAGCCCACTAAAGCCGAGAGAACACGAAACACAATGATGTAGCCTTTTGGCTGACCAACTCGTTCCTCTGCCCCACTTCCTAAATGCCCTCTTGATCACAAAAGCCAATACAAAGCTAAAGGCTCAAGGGAAAATCACTTCGTGCAGAGAGTAAATCCCACCTGGTATTAGTAGTAGACACAAACAACAGAACAAGTTGGCAGAAGAAGGAATGTATTTAAGAAATTTCCTCCCTTGAGGAAGTGGTAAATGCATGCATACAACAGAATGTGCAACTGAATCCACAGCCTTTAATGAATGCAGAGACTCATTCTGGGCACAGGTAGGTTTGTGACTGCCCCCACGCCCTCCTCCCCTCCCTGTTTTAAAAACTGTTTGGTTAGTGAAATGCAAAACCGCACAAAGACCAGAATACGTATATACACCTTAGAGGGTCTGACATTTTTTCTTTTTTCTTAAGAATCTTTCACACATTTAAAATTATTGACTGTTAAGCCCAGTCATACAGCAGAAATATTCCTCATAGATCATTGGTTGAAATGCACAGTACAGCAGTTGTGACCACACTGTCACAAGAGACACTTGCATGAATGCTAACAAGTGTGGTAGATCCAACAAACCACACTGCAAGCACCTGCAATGAACAGGTCTGGGGAAGATGAGGAAATTATCAGAACATGGAATGGAGATGTTAAAGTACACGGGAAGCTCCTACAGTCACTTCTCTCCACAGTCATTGCTCCCATCACAGAACCAGGAAACCTGAACCACCACTTGCCACCTGAAACTTTCCTTCTGTTTCACAGGGATCAGTGTCATGCTTTTATTTCCCGACCTGAGTTACTGTGATTTTGCTTGAATGGGGGCAAGGATGAGAAGGACAAATGCAGACTCCATCTACTGGAGCTCACTTCCCCAGAACTGCATGGTCAAACGACTTGAGATCAGAAGTCCTGCCTGTAAAAAGGCCACGAAATTTGAAAAGAGAAACAAAACAGAGCTAAAAAAAACAAAGCAGAAATAACATCATTTTATACAGCCTGCAATAAAGCTATAGTCAGTGGTACAGAGTTGTTCACATGACACTTATTAAGGCTTTGACTACTGGTCTTCTACATGCACATTTTATATACATATAGTCGAGTGTGTGTGTGTATAAATTATTATTTCTTGTTCTAATCAAGAAAATATTTTCATGCATTTTCTTCTCCTAGTATTCACAATACTTGGACCATATTCTGGAGAGAGCTGGGTCTATTTATTTTCCATCTGGAAATGCCCTCATCTCCAAGAATGTCGTTTGTGCCTGACAGCGGCGCTGGCCTCCCACTTTTCCACAGTCATACACCAGAGAGGAGGTGTCACCCTGGAGCCTGACAGTACAGTGGTTATGTAAACATAGTAATCCATGGATTATAAATACTTTATTAAAGCTAACATACCTCAGCTTTTAGCTCACAATTGCCCATGAGTGCCTTAATGAAACATAATTCAGAATAAAGTCTTTTTCTTGCCTTCTCTTTTTTTTAAATTTCTTCCAGTATCAACAGCTCCATTACAGCAGTTCCCCCAGAAGCACAGTTTTCCCTACCTTTTTTCCCAAAGAAGTGCCAAGCTACCTGTTAATTGTGCAAGCCTATGGCTTGGTAGATTGCATGTACATAAATTACTGCAACACAGAGCATGTCTAAGCCTTATCTCTCAAAGTGCTTAAGTCACTACCTCACTTGCACCCCTGCCATGAAGTTAAGAGACCTCCATGGGCCACAGCAAGGAACAGGGAGGAAGCAGAAACCAGCAGCTTCTGTTCCTAATCCCATGCCTGGAGCATGCACATGTTTGACAGGTTCCCAGAGCTCACCAGAGCTGACCTGTGCACCATGGGCTGTGTCCTGCCTCAGGGACACCCTGACTATCTCTGGCCCAGTGTTTCCTTCAGTGAGATGCTCCAGCTAGCTGCTGTTGTACAGCACTCCTTGGTAGTGGTGTGCAGCCCTGGGGAGAGCATCTCAGCTATGAAAAGGGCGGGCTTACATGGAAGCAGTACCAAGGAAAGGAAGCAGCATAAAGAAGGCTGAGAAAGCAAACATGGGTGGAGTGATGAGGAGAGATTTCTTACTTAAAGTAAGGCCTCAACTGCTGCCACAGCCCTCTGAGTTGCCTTGCCTGGTGGTGTAACTGGAGCATGCTGTCAGCAATCCAGCTGTTAAGCTTTGCCACCATTACAGAGTCATGCCTTGCACCCCACCACAGCACTTCCCTGTCAGCCACCACCTTTCTCTTGGCCACTGCATCAAAGTACTTCCATTCAACATATATTTATGACAACTGCTGCAAATCAGGCACTGGGCCCTTCTTGTTCACTGTGATCCAAGTAGCTAGCAATCCTACAGAGACTGTCCCTGTGCCCCTGCCTACCTTTCAAGACACAATAACCAAGACAATAAATAGATGGGACAGAAGAAGCGATGGAGTCCCAGCTATCTGGTTGTTCACTTATTGCACAGAATATTTTGGGCTGGTAGGGAAGAGTGCATGGCTCCCACAGTCTTAGAGAAAATTCCACTGGGTGTCTGTCCACATCATCTGCTCCAGAAAATGTGTTCAGACAACTCATGTGTACAGGATGCTTAGGAAATGTCACCTAGAAACAGGACATGCAAGAGATGAAAGCTTTTCTCAATTCAATCTCAGTCTTCACTCAGCCGCATGACAAGCTGTGCAAAATACAATGTTTATGCCCTGGCAGGTATGATTAGAAGACAATTTTTGGTCCTGGGTATGTTAACAAGAAAGGGTCATGCTAATAACTTCAGAGGCAAACCTTTGAGACTGGATTTAGTTTTAGTTACAGAAAACACTGCACACTGCTTTTGGCCAGGTGCACAGAAGCTTAAAAAAACAAAAGACAAAGATCACAGTTAAATGTCTCAATCTTCAGATGGGAATGTCTGTGAGGAGCAGTCAAACTACTTTCTCATGTGCAATGCATCCTGAAATTTGGTACTTATGTATCGGGCATGAAAGCCTTTCTTGTTGATGGTGTCATCTGTGTGGAATCGAATCATGATGGAATCCCCTGCAGAGTAGATTTCTTCCAGAGGCTGCAGAAAAGTAAAGAAGACAGCACAGAGTGGTCAAGTCTGTAGGCTAAATAACTGTCCATGCTATAATGCTAGAATTTAAGCTCACAGACTGGCCAGGAAATACAAACATTGAGCACTCAGTACCCCCTGCTCTGCTCTGACTTCCTGAGCGTATTTTCTTGCTCTTTGCACGCTTGTCCTTTATGTTCGAAGGCTGATGCCAGCCCACTCTACAATCCCAGTCCTTCCAGTTGCTTTTTGTAGGTCCCATTCAGAGGACTCCCTGTATGTTGCTGTTCCAGTTTTCTGATTTTTCTCTAAGTTTTCCTAACATTTCAGGAAATTATACAATCTAAATTGGACTCTGTTTGGCAGCTGAGGGCCTCCCAGGGTTCATTAGCAGCAAAGTAACTTAGCCACGTATCTTACATGATAACTCTGCTTATCTCCCTCACTGTCATAACTTGCTACAACCTACCTGTGTTTCTCTGCAGGACCAACACTCTCCCAGCCATTCTCCATTTCTTGATGCGTAGGTAGGTAGGTTACTACCCTGCTGCCCTGAACTTTATCACACCAAGCTGCTATGCCTTTGTTTATTTTCCAGACTATTTCCCCAATTTCCAAGGACTGCTCTGACACACTTGCTCCTTGGATGTCTCTCTTTAAATGCAGTAAGAACCTTCTCCATTGCACTGCTTAAGTCTTAGAGGAATTGGGAGAAGTCTTAGAGAAAACGGAACCTCTGGTTTAACATACCATACACTATTGCTCACGCTAACAGTCACTCCTCTTAATGGGGACATAGATAACAGTTTGGGACACAGCACACCACCCTGGAGTCAACAAGGAGTTCTGCAAGTCCATTCACCCTTCATCCTCACCATAGCAAGGCCTCAATGTGACTTGGCTTCAGGCAGGAAGCGACTGAGGATGGAACTGCCCTTTGGAAGCTGTTTCCAACATTTACGCAACACTTTTGAGACAGGGCTGGGACGCAGCAGAGCAGCAGTCTTATGCTGCTGCATGTGGCCCCGGGCTAATAAGGGAAAGTCAGTCAGCAAGGTTTTCAGACCAACTCTGTGCATCAGATAAAATGGCTGTGATCTCTAGCAATACGAGAAGCAGCAAAGCCCAGATATTACCAGTTTGTGAGAGCTGCCCCTCTCCAAAATGGTACGAGAGTACCCTTCCTTGCCACCTCCAGTTATGCTTATGAAATCCCCACCACCATGGCTTACCCCTGAGCCACAGAAGCGTCCCAGGCGGGGTGCAGTGCTATCATAACCATCGTAAATCTCCATGTAGTCGTACCCACAGTCAGCCTCCTCCTCGATCTCAAACGTCTGGAATATCAGCTCCACCCCATAACCATCTTCAGCTACAATCACCCATTCACAGTTTGCTTGACCTGGGTAGTTGTTGTCTCCAAACTGAGCATGAGAATACAGCTCCTTAGTTCGTACTTCAGCCTTTAAGAGCCCACCACACTCTGGAGGGAGAAAAGAGCACAAAACACAGTCTCATCGAAGGCCCTACCTCACAAGAAAGACTCACCACCCAACGTTGGGCCAGCTGTAGGAACAGAGGACCTCCAGCATGAAGCGCATGTACAACAGGGAAGGTAATTGACCACTGTACCAAACTACTGTAAACCAGTGAAATCTCCAGTCACCCATTAATCTATTGACCCACATAGCGTAGAGAAGCTTCGTCCTTTTGGTACAAAACATGGAGGGAAAGAAACTGGAAGGATCCCATTCCTGCCACATTATGCTTTGGAAAAATGTATTACTTTATAGAGCAATTGCTTAAAAGCAAAACTTTACATGTTACTTGCACTTGTTCTGCAGCTGTAATTCTGACTCCAAGTATTTTACCAGCAGTAAGCTGAAGCATGTTTGAAAACTGGGGACCAAAATAATCCACTGCTGCACAAAGATAGCCTTGTGCTTGCGCAAAGTGCATGTGATTCGGCATAGTTCCCCTGCAGTCGACCAGAAAGACGCCTCCTCACCAGTCTTCTCAAGTGTTGCTGCTCAGACCATGTTTAATCTGCTTACAATGGCAGGGAGTTTTAAAAAGTGAAGCTTGGTACAACACACCCACCTTTGGGCTGCCACAGATAGAAGATCAAGCTTGCTGTGTCTGTCCACCGCACATCTCTGCTTTTACCATAACCAGTCTATTCTGTGTGTGGGCCAATACATGGGATAAGTTGCATCACCTCATTTTCTGAGGGTTGATGAGGAATAGAATGGGTTGTTACAAACACCTCCAATTTAAACAAAAGAACTGAGCAGGAATTTCTAGCATCAAGAGACCTCTAAGCTGATAAGGAAGAAGGTATTTATAGTATGGTGTCAATAATGGTCTGGGAACTGGCTAGCTCAATTTACAACCACTTAAAATTCAGGCTAAGCTTATCTGGGAGAAAAGTGTGTTTTGTTTTGCCTGGTGAACAACACAGTGAGATGTGATAACATCTCATTGCACTGGGGTATTGACAGGCAATCAGCTTACCTGTGCTGTGCTTTGCTTGGAAACCTTTTCTTTGCACAGAAGCATCAGAGTAAAACCTGAGGAACATCTTGTTGGAAGAAGCTACTACAGGGTCTGGTTTCTTGCTGCCACAGAAGCGGCCAAGGACAGGTGACTTGCTGTTGGGCCCATCATACATTTCCAAGTGGTCGTAGGCACATTCTTGGTGCTGCTCAATCTCAAACTCATTGAAGGTCTACAGCAAGAACAAGGAGAACTAAGACAGACATTTGTAAATCTGAGTATGCAACTTAGCAGAGGATGAAATGCTAAGTGAGAAACAGATGAAATGGTATGCCTGTCCCACTCCTCCCACAACCTAGAATGCAATAGTGTGTTTTCAGAAAAGAGTGATCTCAGGGTGGCAAAGCTTAGAAGTTTGTACGAACATGCTGTGTAGCTTTGCTACCTCACATGGGTGCATGACAACAGTTTTCAACTGCAAGCCTTATGTACTCTCATTTTCCTGCCAGGAACTCTGCCTGGCACACCAAATGGGCAGTTCTTCAATACTACTTCCACTGAGCACAGGGACCCAGGCATTTTTTCTCCCAGTGCCTGGGCCATCTGCACAGCTTTGGGCATGTCCTACCATATGCATCAGGCCACAATGTAAAATGGGCCTGACACTTCTCCCTCAGAGGAGCTGGGGACTGGCCCTGCCACCACCTTATGCAAAGAGTCCCAACAGAGTGGGTCACAAGGAGGGGTAGGGGCAGGAGGGCATGTTATACCTTCTCTTAACAGAGAAGGGAATCCCCCACAGCTGTCATCTGCTGGAGTCTCCTTCAAGCTGCCTCAACCCTGCCTTGTGTCCCTCTGAGACCTTCTGCCCTTTTGCAGGCCAGGGCCAGCCTCCCAGGATGCCCTCCTCCAAGCACTCCAAACAGGACCTATGGGAATCAACCTCCCACTCGCAAAGTGGCAGGGGAAAGTCCCCTCAGCTCCTCACAATCCAGCCTGCTTCTCCTCTTGCGCTCCTGCTCACTGGTTACTCACCACTTTCACTCGGTGGCCAGGCATTGCAGAGATGTCCCAGGTGCTCTCTTTCCGGCTGGGGTACTTGTCAGGCCAGTTTGGACTGCTCATCGTTCCCTCTGCACCACTCAGCTTGTGCTCGCAACCAGCTTGAGAGAGAGAGATCACAAGATGGAGGCATCGAGGCAGGTCTCACATGGGAACCATATAACCTCCTACATGTTCCTCTCTGCCCACTGAGACCCTCAACAGGGCAGAAACAGGGAAGGCTTCAGTCACTGAACAAGACCTTTTAGTATCACTGCATAGTTCTGGTGGGTTTGTCCTACACTTTTTTGAGCTGACTTGGCAGCTGGTGAAATGGACCATCTCATTCCCCTGGCCTCATTAACCTCATCCACCTTCTCACTCCCAAACATATTCTCCTGCTTCTCCAACTCGTATACCCTGTTCCCAGTGACATGGTGTCCAATCCCTCCACCATGTTGACTCTGGTGCTGTATCAGTCTTGAGCAGTTTTGTCAACTTGAGAAGCTGAATCAGCTCATGGAGACATCAAACAAGGACCAGAGATTGTACACAGGAAGGCAGCACAGCAGGGGTAGGGGTGCAGGAAGAAAAGTAGTTTGGGCAGCAACAAGCGGTTAGATCAACTCACCCTTTCTAATCTGACTTAAAGCCAGTAATTAAATGAAGCAGCAGTGACTAGTCTAATGGTGATGTCCCACAACTGCTCCTTTTGCTAGCCCAACTTCTTGCCCTCACCTTGTTCAGCCCCTATGGCCATACAGAGGACCTGACTGGGGAATGGATCCAGCTGAAAACAAGCCCTCTTCTTCCATTTGTTAGGCAGTTTTTTAGCTGTCTGGGGTTTTTTCAGTGCTTCAGCCTGGTATGCTGTACAAAAATCCTTCCAACAGCAGGCAGGAAGCACCCTGGCTCAAACTGTGCTTGAAGGACCTTGTATTTTCTGAAAGTAGGGAGTGGAGATCTTACCTTCTTTGCAATCATGGCCATTTTCATGCAGCATGAAGCCATTTCTGCACTGGCATACGTAGCTCCCGAAAGTGTTGATACATTCGTGTTGGCAACCACCATTGTCTTTGGAGCATTCGTCCTTGTCTGGGCAGAATCAAACCAATAAACATGGAGTTGAAAGTGAGATATGTATTACCACAGTCGCCACCTGGGAGTCCCATACCCAGACTGGCAGATACCAGTGGAAACCTCCAAGCTCTGCTGCTGCATTAGCACAGTCGGCTTTTTAGGCCAGATACAACTGTCTTCAATTGACTTTCACACCATAAAATGCATCACAAATGTGTTTTATTATATAATGTAGGTTTTGATTGGTTAAAGACTCCTATCTAAAAGAAACCTATAGCAACATCTCATTCTTTTAGAATAGAGTTCAGGAATAGTATCACACAAATTCACTAGCCTAGGCAAAAACCTACTGTTCCTACATGCTTTGATGAGCCTTCATCTTTAAACAGCTCTTTCCAAGAGCACAAGCAGCCAGAAGGGGAAGGGGATCTAAGGTACGAGCTGCTCCCTGAAGCTGAAATAAGCCCTAGTGGATGTTCACTCCTGTGTGTTCAGGACTATTCATTCCTGAATCTCACTGTTCTGAGCATAGGATCTGCTCATGGTTTCCTGTCCAATTTAATTTTTGAGCAGTTTATCTCCAACTTTTCTTGGTCCAAAGGCCTCCTTGGACCTCATTAACCTCATCTGTCTCCTCACTCCCAATTGTACTTCTAGATGAAACACAGCCCACCTCATCCTTCCTTTTGTTAGATTTAATAACCCCTAGCCCTGATTCTACTCTGCAACAGACTTAATTCATTGCTTGATCATACTCCTCAAAAACATTAATACTCCTTGGCATATGCTGAAAACACAACATTAAATTGAATTTCCTCTTCCATACAATGTACAGTTAACCTCCAGAACTGACTGCCAACATGGTATGTCACTTACACTGAGAGCTACAAAGAATTCAGAACAGAGGATTAGAAACTTCCACTAGCATGCATGCTTTGAGGGGAAGGATTGCTATAGAGAAGACTTCTGGAAATTTTCTAATTCATCTAGTTTCAGAGGAAAAAGCTTCTCTTTAATGACTCCAGGGACAGAAATAACTTCTAGGATTGGGTTCCCCATTGCTTTCTGCTGTGGAAGGACTGCAGGCATTTATGAAATTCATGCATCTTGCTGACACCACACTATTAATCTTTACCATACACTGCACTGAGAGACCAAGATGAAAGGTGACGCAGCACAAAGCAACCACGCTTTGATGCAACTAACCATGCCAGGCTCTGCCTGATTTGACATGAGACTGAAGAAAATTCACCAAAACCAAGAGGTTCAGTTGGAGGAGACAGTGAAAGCAAAATAATACAGCCACGTACCAGAGAAGTAGTGAACTTTAAAGCCTTTCTTGGAGACTGTGTTGTCTGATTTGAACTCCAGTCTCATGTTGTTGCCATACGACGTGATGACTTCAGGCTTCTCTGAGCCACAGAATTTGCCATGCAGCTTGGAGTCAGAAGCCAACCCACTACGAACCTCAACATAGTCATATTTACAGACCTGGCAAGAGAGGAGGAGATTTCTCAGCTCCGTGGACTTGGAACAGAGAATTTCAGAGGAAGAGGACAGAGGTTTGACTGAGAGGGAACAGAAACAGCCTTATACTCAAACATACTCCTAATTTCCCCAAATTCTCTGCCAGTGTCCCTTCCCCTGCTGCCCTGGTCTTAAAGCAAGGGTGTGCTTATCAGAATAGAAAAGGTTCCATTTAATTTAGCTAAAACAATTATTCCCACCTTATCCAAGAACCTGACAGTGTTGAAGGAAGTTCAGCAGCCCGCTGAATTAAGGAAGAGCCACTACTCCCATTTAGAGTGCGGAAAGTGAGACCTGAATGCCTTATTCAAACTTCACTCTGCCCTTGGCAAGGCAGAGAACAGACTTACTGGTTATTTTATCTTTGAAGAACTCTACTTCATTGTTCATTTCCAATTATTTTCCTGCAAAGGCAGCTCTGGGGAAGGGGGGGATGGGATACCTATCAGGGACAGAAAACATCTACAATTATGCAAAACTGGTAGAGAAAAGAAGCCCATTTATAACAGAACAGCTTTAATCCTTCCACTCCATAGAGAAAGCAGATCCAGATTTCAAGGAGAACAATCACTGTTACTGACTTATTATATCAAGGGCAGGGAAGCAACCAGAAGATCCACCAGTAAGAGAGAGTCTCCTCTTCCTTGTACCCCAAGGATTTATCCAGTTCTGAGTTAGCCAATAGTCACACCTCTGAGATGCAGAAACTGATTACGTACATCATTGCCTTCCAGCTCAAACACTTCGAACTGCAGAGAGATCCGGTACTGGGCTGGAGCTACCACCTGCCAGACGCAGTTTTTGTTAGTAGGATATTCCTTGGGCCATCCAGGGCTAGTAATGGTCCCATTGAGCTTGGTGATGAAGCCCCCACAGGCAGCTGGAGAGGCAATAAATGAACACAAGTTTTACTTGGTTCTGCTCAGACACACAGATTGGGCCACACTCTTAGCTAGGAAATTAATCAGATCCTGGTTGGTGGCACATTTCAAATCCCAGCCTCCAGAACAGGTTTAAAATGGTGGGAGCTGCAAAAAAGACAGAAACCTCACCTGCTATAAATCACTAGTGAAAGACACACAGCCAGGCTATGGCCCTGAGAGCCACTTAAACCACATAAGATCGATTTCCTTTTTACTGTGGGCTTACTGTGGATCAGTTGACTTGACATGCACAATACAGTTGTAAAGGCAGCTCGATAAATTCATCCATGCTCAGTCCTACATGCCTTACAGTTTCAAGTTTATCAGTAATGGAATAAATAGAAGATAATGGGATCCTAGGGAAGACACCCCTGTCAACTCTTCAGTGGCTTATTATATGTGGACTGCATCTTCTCTAGAGAAAATGGAAGACAAAGCCAAAGACTTAGCTTTATTATACACTTTCCTTTAAAAATTTAGGACATCTCAGCTTCATTCTCTTGAGGGAGGACATGGCTTTTGCCTCAAAGGTATCAACCTCAGTTTGCTTTTGTGCTGCAAAATTCTATTTGCAACTAAGTATTTTTTTTCTTGGTGTTTCTTGGAAGTAATGAGATACAGCTAGATCTTCAAAACCCACTAGGATAAAAGCTTCCTGGGTCTTGTTCCCAGCATTCACATTAAGAGAACCCAACGGAGCAACTTCAATACAAAAGGCGTAGCAAGCAAGCGTGTCTGGAGAAACTAACATTGTACTCTGATGTGCATCACTACAATTTCAAAGACCATCCTTCCTGTATTACCCACAAATGAAGTCTAAAACAGGATGTTAAGAGTGAAGTTCAGAAAACACTTGCCAAGTTTACCAACTGGCTTGCACAAAATTGCAAGAAGTTATTTAAAAAAAAAATAAAGCTTCCAAAATCCTTTTGCACACACCTAACACTGCCTTCACCAAGTCGACAGCAGCCTTCCCCAAACAGTTTGACAAAAACAGAAGTGAGGGCAAACCCGGTGACTTTGAGAGCACCACTGGCAGTGTGGGGAACTCCCTCCACACCTCAGCTGAAAGGCAGAGAGCTATGAGACAAGAACAATGGGTGGATTCCCACCACACCAACAGCTGTATTGTTGGTGGGAGCACACACTTGTTGCAAGGGATTAGCTGTATAAATATAATGCTGACAGTTTCTATTGAAGACAGGGTTTTATTTTTTCCCATAATAGAAGAAGGGAATTTATTCCTCAGGAAAAAGAATGTCTGTTTTGCACGCAGGCAAAACATTGATATTTTATTCTATAAAATAAATTTCTTTTAAAAAATTAAGAATTCAGCCTTAGATTTAAATACTTTTGGGCCACTCAATGGTTAGGTTGTAATGCCAACCCTCCCCTATGCAGCACTGTGGAAGATCTGGTCTGAACAGGGATCTCTGGCCATGAAGAACTGGTTTTAGAGAAGTATAGCAGTAGAGAACCAGAGTATTTACAGTTTTTCAACCAAAACTTGTTTTTCAATAGAAGATGTTGACAAAAATAAATTTTTGAGGTGAGGGAAGATAAACAGAGACAAAGAGGATGTAGGAGCAAGGAAAATAATTTCCAAGGTTGTTCAGTTTCATTAGCAGCTGTAATACTCATCCTATAGACAAATGCCTCAATCCGTAGATTACTCACCTTCACAGCTCCTTTTGTCAGCTGTCAGCTCATAGCCAGGCTCGCAGGTGCATTTGTAACTGCCCAGTGTGTTCTCACAGTGCTGCTCACACCCACCATTGTCCGGCAGAGAACATTCATCCATTTCTGTCAGGGGAAAATCAGAACAAGTCACACTTTCCTGATCACCCAAACCCCCTCATGTTCCTCATGCAACACTTCTGGACAGAAACACCAGAGCACCAGCTGACGAACCAAGCCCATGGAGCAGTCACTGCAGGAAGACCCACAAGAGCTAAAGCACTCCTACCACCAAATCCATAAAGGACTACAATTACTGTTACTACTCCAGAGTGCCTTTTCAAGACAGAAGCAGGAAAACATGGTCTCCTGTAAAGACTTCACTGCCTTTTTTCTCATGTGCCCCTGTTTTTTGTTTTTGTCTTGTTTTTTAAATTCCTCATACTCTTGAATGGCTTGAGCTACCAGGAACCAGCCTGTGATGGTGCCCATAGTAATGGAGCTGTCAGAGACTGTACCCCAGTGAACAGGGTGCAGCAAAGGAGCTGGAAGGACATGAAAGTAGTTCTTCCTCTCCATAGATGCATGAAGTCTTGCTATTCCAGACTTGAAGTCAGGTTCTTCCAATCACATCTCAACTACCTGAACTGACATTTTAATATACAAATAGCCAGATGTACTGGCTTCTCACCCTGACCACTGGTTCCACGTGCATCCCTTAATAGATGGTTTTACTAACATGGTAGTGGTGGGCTGGCCTCAGCTAGCAGTCAAACTCCCACCCAGCTGCTTGCTCACTCCCCAGCCCCCCACTGCAGTGGAATGGGGAGCAAATAGGAAGAACAGGAGCAAGAAACCTCCTGGGTTGAGACAGGGAAACTACCCACCAAATAATGTCACGGGCAAAGCAGATTCAACTTTGGGGAATACGTCTTAATTTATTGTCAACTAATACAAATACTTGAGTACCAATTTGGGTATTGGGAAACAAAAACTGAAAAAAAAGAGAAACAAATGTTAAAACACTTAGGGGCCTTTCTGTCCCTCTTTCCCAGGCTTAGCTTAAGTCTAGACTTCTCTCCCCCTGCCTTGTATCGCCACAGCTTACACTCAGTCCCTTCAGCAAAGCCATGAGCATGCAAAGGCAGGAGGGGATGGGTAGCTACAGTCAGTACATGACTCTGCTGCTCCTTCCTTCTCATACTTCCTCTCTGCTCCAGCCTGGGTCCTCCATGGGCCACCGGGAACATCTGCTCTGCCATGAAGCACCTCTACCTTCTCCTGCTCTGACCTTGGTGTTACCTCAGCTGTTTCGCACTTTTTGCTCCCTCCTCCTCTCTCTCCCCATCATTTCTGACCTTTCTCAAACATGTTTTCACAGAGGTGCCACCAGTTCAGTTGATGGGCTCAGCTGTGTCCTGCGGTGGGTTCACTGTGGAGCCAACATGAACCATCTGTCTGGCCCGGGGCAGCCTCTGCAGCCTCCCACTGCCAACACCTTGACACCTACACCTGATACAACGCTGCAGTAACAGTTACTGCTACATAGATCAAATAGGAACAGTCTTGACTAGATGATCATTGTAGGTCCCTTCCAACTGAAATATTCTGTTCTGTTCTATTGATAACACTCTCTTCCTGCAAAGCCTTCCCACAGTCAGGAACCCCTCACTGCAACAGTTCCAGTCTAAACAGTTTTGGGTTTTTTTCTGGTTTCTGTTTGTGGATTCACTATGAAGAAGGTAGAGTGTTTCTTTGCTACTCCATGCTTGGGTACAAGCTCAATAGCTAATCTGGCTGTTAAATCACTTGCTTGAGAGAAAAGGGAGGCAGCAACTCCTACAATAATAAAAAAACCCATTTAATGTGGGAGGGACATGTCCTGACTACAGGTAGCTATATTTTGTAAAGTACTGTCTTTCCTCTAATGTTTGCCATGAAGAAGAAAGGTACAACAATGTAAGACAAGCACATCACTACTAACACTTCAACCCTGTACAAAATAGGCCTCAGTGATACAAACAACTTGTTACCAAAACAAACATAAGTAATGAAGAATAATCCTAGAGCTTTCCCCTAAGATACACATGATGGGATGGACATGGGGTAATTGCTCTTCACAACTTTCTGACATTGTCTGTTGGATGTGACCAATGACTTACCTTCCCTGTGCTGTTTGCAGGTTTATTTTCTCTGAAAAGTTGCAAGTTACCACTGCAAGTTCTCACAAAGCATAGCATTCAATTCCACGCTTATCTCTCTAAGGTTTATTTAAGCTGTTTTCTTTCAGTGTTGTAAGACATGTAATTAAAGCTCCATTCCTTTCATAATTCATTAAGGCAAAGCTGACCCATTGCTCATTCAGCTACGGGTGACAGTCTGAAGAGTGTCTGCAGAGCCATCTAATTTGTTCATTTACTTTGTTCATGGACTGGCAGTCACAATCCCTCTGGATATGGAGGTAAAGGCTGCAGACTTCAGATCCCAGCTTGAAAATCCACACATAATCTGCAGCTATGTCTACCTAGCTTTTGCAAAATGACATCAGCTCTACTCACAATGCAAGCTGGCTAGAAGTTGTACAGATATGGCTACTGTGGTGCTTGGTCCAAGAAAATGCACTATGTCCCCCAGTATCTGTATCACAAGGTAAGCATCCCAGGTTCAGGTGTGTAACCTTCTTTCCCTATGATTCCACAGAATGACTGCAGGCCAAGAAGTCTCCAGGTAGAGTTAATGCCTAGAAGCCATTTCTGCCTTAGTCAGTTTGCACTATCAGCTCCTGAAAGAGGCCAAAATGTCTTTATGAAGAAGTATTTGCTGTGTCTTTACGGAATCTGAGCAATTTAAACAAGGACGTCTAGGCACTGCGAGAGTTGTTCAGGGACTGGAATTAAACATCGCGCTATTTGCCAGTGATCTTGCAATCACCCTTTGTCACGGTCCATTTGGATCTCTCAAATGTACGGGACAACGTGTTCTGTGAATTAAACTTTAGTTAACTAATTGGGTTTTTTGGGCATAAGTGCATTGATTAAGAATTATGGTTTATAAGTTATGAAACCTTATGACTTGCATGGTGAATAAGTGAATTCATGTGACAGACTAGCCTAAACAAAAGGGACTGAGTCCTGCATGTTTGTTTGTTCTATTTCCTAACGAGCTCATGGAATAAAGTTTAATTCACAGAGTACACTCTCCTGTAAATCTGAGAGATCCAAACGGACCGTAACACCTTTAATGCAAGACAAAAGTTAAAGTAGAAATAAATACAGGACTTATGCAATCCAAATACTGGCATTGCAGCTCTTATTTCTGTACAATTGTCACTGAACCAAGGGAAAACATGAGCACTGATCTCACAGCAGCGCCGCAGGCATTTTCCCAAGTGGTTAGATATTTGGTTCTCGCCTCTATCAAGTCACCAGGGTGCTGATAAAGGACTGTGGTTTGGGTTCAACTCTTAAGAAGAGTTTTAGTCTTCATTTGCATCTTGCTGAAGAGGATCTTGGTTTAGGAACACATCTGTCTCCTAAAGCACTCCGAAATTTTCCCTGGGATTCTACTTGCAAAGTTACCTTCTCTCTGGAAGTTTATTTTGTAATAGAACTTAAGCAGAGAGTTGTTTTTAAGACTTTCTGTACAGTGCTAGTATCTTCTTTGAAAATGTCAATGTCCTCTGGCATGGATAAATGAAGGTGACATTCTGTCCAGCTGTGCAACACAAGGCATTAGTGCCTGTGCTGGTACTGACCCATGAGGCTTTCTTTCTGTCCTAATCAGAGGTCATGTTCACGCCTCAGCATCAAACACCTCTACATTCACAAAGCAATTTGTATATAAACTTTATACTGTCTAACAGCTCTTAACTACAAGCAGATACAATGGTAACTAATCACTTTGGGATGGCAGTAAGTTAAGGGATGAATGGTCGCCAACTTCGACCTTGTACTTGAACTTTGTACTAGATCACATACCTTTAAAGAAATTTGCTGCAAAGCCTGCTTTATTAATGGTTGCATCAGACACAAACTTCATCCATACTTTATTTGAGCTGGATTTGATATCTTCTGGCTTCTCATAGCCGCAGAAGTGACCGATCAGTGGGCTGTATTCAGTGAGACCGTCTCGGATCTCCAGGTAGTCGTAAGAACACGCGTCATGCCATTCAATCTGCAACGGGAAAAGGGTGTGCCTGAAGCTCACTAGTAGGAGTGCTCTGAGTCAGGCTAGCTAACCAGTTAGATTTTGGACAGAGATCAGCTTCCAAAGGAGCATCTCAAACAACTGGTCGCAACTACGTACTTGCCTCATGGCTGCCATTGATCTCTCCTGAAATTGCATTCAAGCACAGGCGCATCTCACTTCTACTGCTATTTCATGGCTACCCTCCGGTGAAACCTAGTCCCTAACTATGTACAAGCTGCTTTTGCATGAGAAGCTGTAAGGAACAGAGCAGAAGAAACAAAAAGGTTCAAGGAGTAGCTGTGGGGTCACAGCTGGGAGATGGTGGTGTCAGTCCTTTCCAGGACAAGCACAGTAAGTGTAAGCCACAGGAGCCTATGGGCTAGATGGGATTTATGCACCAACCCATGTCCTGTCCACTCCTGTCTGTCACTTATACATCAGCAGTTAGAAACAGATCATTGGGCACCTAGCTAAGAGTGTGAGACACTCTAAAACCAGTAGGAGAAAGCCTCTTCTGAGCTCTTCAAGGTGTGTTTGCCATCTGGGAACACGATGTTGCTCCAAAGAGTCACAAGCATTCTGAAATCTGCCAAGCCCCAGCGATGTGAACAGGAATTTTTGCCTAGATTGTGACCATAAATTTTCACTCTGGCCCAATGAAATTGTAAGGACTCGTGAGTCCCTACTTGACACCATCAGTAATTTTGTGCCCTCTCTAATTATTTCTATCTAAAGTAACAGTTTTTGAAAACTCATCATATTTAAAACTTGGCTTCAAGCGAGGATAAATTACATTCTGAAGTATTCAAAAGATTTTTCTTTAAATATTATTTACATCACTTCCTTCTTAATTTTAAATGATCTACAGAGGCAAAATAATATCCATAATATAATATACAATGACATTTCTCACCTCAAAGGCTTGGAATGAGATTCCTATGTGAAAGCCCTCAGAAACTGTGATCTTCCAGATGCACTCTTTGGAAGGTCTGTAGTCATCAGGGTAATTGGGAGACTGGATCTGGCCAGCATCTTTGTGAATTTCTCCACCACAAATAGCTTCATAAAAAACAAAGAGCAAAACAACAAGGTAAAGCTTGCTCCATGCATAACTTTCTTCCTTATTCAAATCTGTATCAATACCACTTGTTCCACAAAGGCAACACACAAGTCATGGAAGTTTTTACAAATCTCACATTTTGGCTTAGTGACAGTGTCTCCTGTATTGCTGTGTCAACCTCCTTAGAGGTGAACTCACTGGTACAGATAATTTTTATGGATTTGTGTGACGCTCCTGGTCACCTTCATAACTGCTTAAAACCTGTCACCAGCACTAAGGACCAAGAAAAGCTGGGAAAAAAGAACTAACCCAAGTGAAAAACAGTTGCAAATCTAATCCAGCCACACGATGGCAATATTAACAAGCATGAGTTGAGCTGTTCACTGGGAGACCATGAGGCTGACTACTGCGCATGAAAAATTAAGTTCTGTACTAAATGTAAGAATGAGTAAGTTTAAAGAGCAAGAACAGAAAATTCAATGAAAATCTGGTTTAATACAAAACTAGCAGAGACCTCAGAGACAACAACAGTTCAATATAGTTGTCTGCAAGACTGTGTAACAAATGACAATAAGTTCACACGTTAAAACTTGTGCTACACCATAATTCATGACACAGGCATCTATAGAAGGCATATGAGTGTTTCGGCTGTGTTTAAAATCAAGCAAACAAAAAGCAGTGACAGCAAGCACAAGAGAGATGGCACTGCAATGACACCTGCCAGACACCAACCATCTTCACACTTGGGATCTCACCAGAATGCACTGCATTAGCAATTCAGATATGGGTCTCCCTATAGTGCCCTGGAAATTGCTTGCATTGGGTAACATCATATTGGGTTTGCCTTGTAAACTGCTCATGTTTAACAGCGACCTAGTTCAAGGCACCGTTACACTAGTGCAGTGCTAATTTCTTTCTTAGCCAATCAGTGCTAAGGCACCACCAAATAGCTGCACCCAAAATTCAACTGCAGACCACAATTTAGATTGTAGTTTGAGTTCACATATTCAGAGCTACAAGTGGTGCTAGAGAAACCTCCGAGGGAAGTAGAGAACTGTCTCCCCCACCTGACAGAAAGAGGATGACAAGAGAATGGACAATTTTAACAGCCATAAAACTGTCAGTCAGCAAACAGTATTTTCCGTATCCTCTGCAGCAGTTCACACTGAAATTCAGTCAAGCAGCTAAGTATACTGGAAGAGCTTTATTGCAAAATAGAAAGAACGACTGCTGATAGGGCCTGAGAAAACAATAACAATGATAAATTTTGGGCTGCCAGCAGTGCTGTAGGG